ATTAGCAAAGTTAAATGACGGTTCCGTGTAGGATACAGGTTCTATTCCTGTCGGAAGATACATATTTTTTACGAAATTTCTCGCACAGTCAGGACGGTAAATGTTATTAATACTGTTTATTATAAACAGAGCATTTACTTGTATAATTGTATGAATAAAAATAACGTATAAAAAGCAAATATATTACGATAATAGTCAATTTCATAATGACTTAGTACATTTCATAACATATATATATATATATATATATATATATATATAATCGACTCTCCCGTCGAGATTCGACGTATGAGGGTCAAGCAGATCAGTTTCCAGGAAACCGACAGCCCGACACCGGCACATGAGATTTGATTATAGTGGTGAAGGCCTCGTGCAGGACCATCCACACTTTTTGAAGGGACGAATACAGAGACCTGGTGCACTACGTGCCACAAGGTTCCCAAAAGACCCTCCGCAGATTTTGAATTCAGAGTTGTCCTTCTCCTAGACCAGTTGCCATCCAAGGCTATAGAACCAAGTCTGTCCTGCTATTTTACCCATAGCTGGAGGGAGAGGAAGAGGATTCATGCCTTTCCCAAGGGTATTGGCACGTAACTGAATGTAATGGATTCGACTGGAATTCGAACTCGGCTCTGCGATTCCTCAATCCAAGACGCTATCCATTACGCCACCGTGCGATATATATATGTATCTGTGTGCTTGTTTACTTGTGTGGTAGTGTGTGTGTATGTGTGCAGAAATAGAGAGAGAGAGAAAGAGAGAGAGAGAGAGAAAAAATGGAGATAAGATGAGAGGAGAGAGATTGAGCAGTGGAACGAACGGAAGACAGGGAGAAAGAAAGAAGCAAACTTATTTTATATCGTTCCTTCTGTTGGCCGCGAGAGATTTCACGGGAATTGTTTTCTAATTTCAATATCATTTCCCCCAACGGCGATTGATTTTCCACTATTGCCGGTAAATAAACAAGCGACGGCTGTAATTGATTGGTGCAATCATTTGCACTGAAAGGGAAACAAAGAAATGGCGAACACAGTATGGAAGCCCGTCGCGGACGCAATAAAATAAATTATCGGTTTCTCAGACTATTCATGCCTATCTCAGCCTATTCATATCTATCTATCTATCTATCTATCTATTTATCTATCTATCTATCTATCTATCTATCTATCTCAGTCTGTTCCTATCTATATACCTATCTCAGTCTGTATCTATCTATCTATCTATCTATCTATCTATCTATCTATCTATCTATGTCTCTTAATATCTAAGTGTGTTACTATCTATCTATCTATCTATCTTGACCTATATACATCTATCTCAGATTTCTCAGGTCTACGTATCTACATGTCTTTATCTCAGACTATTCAAAACGAAGTGAATTCATATCTATTTACCTCCGTCTATCTCAGCCTATTCATATCTATCTATCTATCTATCTATCTATCTATCTATCTATCTATCTATCTATCTATCTATCTATCTATCTCAGCTTTTTCAGGTCTACGTATCTCCCTATCTCTCTATCTTTAGACTATTCATAACTATCTTGATGAATTGATATCCATTTATGTCCTCTGCTATCTATCTTTGCTTATTCATATCTATCTATCTATCTATCTATCTATCTATCTATCTATCTATCTATCTATCTATCTATCTATCTATCTTCCCTAGTCCCACCAGTTTAAACTTTCACAGCTAGGACCCCCCCAGCCGGAACTTGTAACTTTACTGTAAAAAATGTTTATCCAGAAAGAGTAAGCATATTAAACAATATTAGTAACACTATAGATTTGACCATTCAATCTTAGATTCACAACATTTTCTTTTTCATAGTTATCATGCTACATAGAACTGCAATAATAATTTAATAATGACCTACAGAAAATCTACCAACAAGATGACTATATTAATTTCTATTCTCACCACTGCAACAGAATAAAATCGGGAATAATTATAGGATACTTATTCAAGAGTACTAAGAATCTGCAATCCCAATATTTATATTGAAGAAGAAATATACGTAGAAAAAATCAAATTAGATTACCTTTACAGGTAAATAAAGTAATCTAATTAAATTTGATTTATAGTCACTAATTATGCTCAGAGGCCCCAAGGCATTTTTCTTCACAAACACTTTTGTCTTTCTTCCATTCGTACCTAAGGAAGACAGAGAGAACTGCTGCTTTCGGCAAAACGCGCCGTTAATGATTTTTCCACTTCTTATGCCTGATATGAAACCGAAGAGGCAATATCCTATCATACGCATTCTGTGTATCAGTTATGGTAGAATTCTTTCCATTTTTCCGATCGATAGTGTTTTATGCGGATTTTTCTTCCAGTTGGTACCAGACTTTTTAAAATAATTATTAATAATTGTTGCTCCGAGATTAAAATTCTTAAACTTGTGTTTTTTTAAACTATTTCCGGACCTACTTGACCATTTTTCAAATTCTTCAAGTCCTCAAAAATCATTTATAAAGTTAAACTGGGATGAATGATCTGCGTCTTTTGAGAGGCAATTAGTGCTTACTCTAGGATCTACACTAGACAGTAGGCATGATATTACGTCCATATTAACATCAGCAAGTCTCTAATTGTCATGCAAGTACCATGTATTTTATGACCAATGCAAGTTTAGATGACTGTAGTTTTGACGTATTTAGTTTAGATATCTTTAATTTTGATGTTTTAGATTTGATGTCTTTAGTTTTGATGTCTTTAGTTTAGATGTCTTTAATTTTGATGTCGTTGATTTTGATTTCTTTACTTTTGATCTCTTTATTTTTGATCTCTTTATTTTTAATGTCTTTAATTTTAATCACTTTATTTTTGATCTCTTTATTTTTGATGTCTTTAATTTTGATGTCTTTAGTTTGGATGTCTTTAATTTTGATATCTTTGATTTTGATGTCTTTAATTTTCATGTCTTTAATTTTTATCTCTTTAATTTTGATGTCTTTATTTTTGATATCTTTAGTTTAGATGTCTTTATTTTTGATATCTTTAATTTTGATGTCTTTAATTTTGATGTCTAATTTTTATCTCTTTAATTTTGATTTCTTTAGTTTAGATGTGTTTAATTTTGATATCTTTGATTTTGATGTCTTTAATTTTGATGTCTTTACTTTTGATGTCTTTATTTTTGATGTCTTTAATTTTGATATCTTAGATTTGATGTCTTTAATTTTGATGTCTTTAATTTTGATGTCTAATTTTTATCTCTTTAATTTTGATGTCTTACTTTACATGTGTTTAATTTTGATGTCGTTGATTTTGATGTCTTTATTTTTGATATCTTTGATTTTGATGTCTTTAATTTTGATGTCGTTGATTTTGATGTCTTTAATTTTGATGTCCTTAATTTTGATATCTTTGATTTTGATGTCTTTAATTTTGATGTCTAATTTTTATCTCTTTAGTTTAGATGTCTTTAATTCTGATATCTTAATTTTGATGTCTTTAATTTTGATGTCTTTAATTTTTATCTTTTTAATTTTGATGTCTTTAGTTTAGATGTCTTTAATTTTGATATCTTAATTTTGATGTCTTTAATTTTGATGTCTTTAATTTTGATGTCTTTAATTTTGATCTCCTTATTTTTGATGTCTTTCTTTTTGATATCTTTAGTTTAGATGTCTTTACTTTGGAAGTCTTTAATTTTGATGTCTTTAGTTTAGATGTCTTAAATTTTGATGTCTTTGATTTTGATATCCGTAGTTTAGATGTTTTTTTTTTAGTTTTGATATCTTTAGATTAAATGGCTTTAGTTTGAATGTTTTTAGATTTTATGTCTTAATTTTGATGTCTTTAGTTTAAATGTCTTTTATTTAGATATCTTTAGTTTTCATATTTTTATTTGAAATGTCTTTAGTTTAAATATCTTCAGTAGAGATGTCTATAGTTTTGACGTCTTTCGTTTTGATGTTTATTGTTTAGCTTCCAAAAACTAAGCAAAGTATTAAGAACGAGGAAAGTTTCATTGGAAAAAAAAAGACTACTGAACTGTTCTGTAATATCAGCCCTCTTATATGGCAGTCAATGCTATACAACCTCCCGACAAATGAAGAAGAGATTTGAAGCGACAGAAATGTGGTTCTACAGATAGATGGTGAGCATACCAGTTGTATCTGCGAAAACCCAAACAATTACAACAATTTAATTACCTAGGAAGTCTTTTTAACAGAGGACAGAATGAGCGACACTTAAATCTTAATGCGCAGTGGGGTAGTGAAAGATGCCTTCCAATAGCTAAGCAAAGTATTAAGATACAGGAAGATTTCTTTAGAAATATAGGAAAGCCTACTGAACTGTTATGTCATATAATTCCTATTATACGGCTGTGAATGCTGGTTAATCTCCTCGCAGATGAAGAAGAGATTTGAAGCAACGGAAATGTTCTACAGAAGGATGCTGGGAATACTATGAACTGAACATTGAGTAACGAGAAATATTTAAGGAAAATGGAAACAAAAAGAACAGTTATACTTAGAATCAGAAAGATGCAATTGAAATTTCTAGGGAAGATTATGAAGAAAGAGGGCATGGAAAAAGTGACACACTCAGGACGTATTGAAGGAAAGTAGAGAATATCTTAGCAACGAGATTGATTAGCAGAACATGGATAAGGAGAAATAGCAAATAGACAAAATTTATTAGGATCTACAAAAGAAAGGAAGTTGTGGAGAGACATAGATTGCCCACGTCCTGAAATAAGACGGTACATAGAAGACCATTGATTGATTGATTTTTTACGGCTCATCAACTCTTTGCATTTTATTTAAATTAAGAAATATTTCTAGACTTTAAGAATTTTGTGGGGAATAATAATGGTTTTAGTGAGACAAATCTTGCTAATTAACCCATAGCTGGAGAAGAAGAGGTGGATTCATACCTTTTCCAAGGGTATTTGCGTGTAAGTGGGCATAGCGAAACCAACTGGAATTAGAACTCGGCTCTCAGATTATTAATTCTGAGTCACACCACTGGCACATCCACGCTTACAGAAACCTAGTATTCTCAAGCGGTCACCCATCTAGGTACTGACAAGGCTCGATGTTGCTTAACTTCGGTGGACATATAGGAATCGGTGTTTCAGCGTGATGCGGCCAAAGAAGAAGAAGAAGAAGAAGACGGAGGAGGAGAGGATGAAGAATAAGAAGGAGAAAGAGGAGGCGAAAAAGAAGAAGAAGAAGAAGGAGGAGGAGCAGGAGGAGGAGGGGAGGGGAGAAGTAGAAGGGGAAGGGGGAGGAGGAGGGAAGGAGGAGGAGGAGGAGGAGGGGAAGAAGAAGTAGTAGAGCGTCAGAGATGACATATTGGAAATAACAAAAAAAGTGTGATAGTCTGAAACAATTTAAATTTTTTTAAAATTTTTTGAATTTTGATAAAATGTTAAAACATATTTGACACTGATCTCTGCTATTTGGACTCTAAATGGAATTTCCCTTGAAACTGATTCTTTATCCTAAAAGCAGTTCTGCACAATTAAAATCTGTGAAGATCTACATTGATCCCAGAGAATTAGCCGCCGGCCACAAGAGTAAATTTTTAGACTAAACTAGCAGCATGACCCGGCGTTGCCTGTGCTTGATTAAAAAATACAGCAATCGCTATCACTTGACTTAAAATATTTTTGCCCTTCCTTGCCTTTAAAGGAGTGCCCTTTGTCGTGCTGATGTTGCTACATGCCTTACTTCTTGCCTATCTCACACTGCGATTTTTTTAAGCTCTATACTAAACATTAAATCTGTTACGAACTAAACAAATTGAACACAAAACGATCAGCTTTAAAAAAGGACTCGTAACTGGAAAAACCGAATGAAAAAAGAATGTTAACAACAAATACTTTTCACACCCAACCCAGTTCTGCGGAATCAGAATCAACGTTGAGTTTATGCAAGCGAATGAGCCAATTGGAGTAAAGTGCCATGCAGATTAAAATTTTTCCCACTTGTGACGAATGCAGCTATCGATTTTTTTTTTGCATGCTAGTTAACATTCGTGTCAGTCAGCTGTTGGCTCTCAGGCTGGCCAATAGAATCTTCCTGTCTATTCGTGGCAGCCATCTATTGGCTCTCACTCTGGCCAGTAGAAAATGGCGGCAAACTACATGAAAACTGCCGTAGAAGCATGAAAAAATCGATTATTTCCACTATCGATGTGAGTTGGGAAATGCAAAGTCAGTCTTGGCCTTGCCGCTAACTTGGAGCATGAGCATGTAAATTTTGGTGGAAATCCGTCGAAAATTGCGGCCGTGCATTCGTTACACACACACACACACACACACACACACACACACACACACACACACACACACACATCCTGACTTTTATCGATAAAGATTAGAATATGAGTGAGTTAGAAACGAATATATATAGAGCAGGATGGAGAGAAAATTCCCCTTTTTCTTTCTTTACAGGGAGTTAAAAGGATTAATTAGATAGAAAAATAATAAAGTCAGACTCCCACAAAACTCAATTTTTCGTACGTGATCTGTAGCCGAAGTTATTCTGATAAACAAAACTTTGCGGGGTATAAGCGGATAGTCTCGTGAGCCAAAATGGGCCCTCGTGTTGCATTTTATGCAGGCCTGACAAAAGTAAAAGATCTAAAAGAAGGAATTCCGGATTAAGTTCTAGAATTAGGAACTCGGCCGACATTTTTGATTTGAAAAACATCTTCATCCATTTTTATAGTATCGGCTGTAAATGTTATCAAGATCAGTTGGCTAATACCAATTTTATTGTTAAAAGCACTGAGTTGTATAATAAAATTTTATGTAGAACACACACACACACACACACACACACACACACACACACACACACACACATATATATATATAATCATTTATTCGAAAATTATAACATAAAAATGTTATAAAATCACTACAAAAATAGCCATTTTGTTTCAACACATCTGGTGTCTTATCAAGTGTTGGTTATTGGAATTTATTCCGTATACACCAATCCTGTACTTGTATATATATATATATATATATATATATATATATATATATATATATATATATATATCCCGATGTGGTTTGATCTCACTGTCCCTCTGCACTCGGATAGATAAATTGTCTAAATTACGCAAAAATGAAAATAACATTGATATATCATTTTAACAGATATATTTATCAAAATTACACACAAATATCTTGAAATACTAAAGAGCAAATTTATTCACTAAAAATTGCCATTGGCTTCGGCCTCCAGACGACTTCGGAATCTCCTGCAACTCTTCTGGACAGTCTCCTTGTTTAAGTTGGTGAATGATGCCATAATCCTTGCTTTCAGTTCATTTCAGTTTTTTATTTAATTATTTATTTTCTTGTGTGTGTGTTCAGTTTTGTTGGTCTCTCGCTCAACTGTTGCCCCAAAGATAATCAAGGGGGGCTGTAGTGTGGGGGAGTTAGGTGGCCAGATGTAAGTCGCAGAAATTCATGACTGGGTTCCCCTGCTTGTATGACATAGTGCAAAGTTCTGTTGCCAGACACAGGATCATCCAGCAGTCACTCTCTTGAGACAGGGAAGCACTACCTCCTCAAGGCCTTTGAGGTAGGCCTCCGTGTTGAGTCTAAGGCCCTCACCAATAAATTCGGGAGTTATTTTCTTATCAGAACGATCAAAGTGAGTTTTCCGAGTTGCTGTACCTTCTTAACCACCATTAAATACATAGAACTCTTTCCGAATTTTCTGCATTGTCCTGAGGTTAACAGCCAAATACTCTGAACTGTTCATATTGGTGCTCCCCGTACGAATGTCAAACAGTATGGCATGTCGTTTCCAGATTGCTGGCGGATTGAATGGCGTCATGGTGCTCTTTTTCTCACAGACGGTTCCCAACTGACCCTACTATACTGTACAGTCGACAAAATCAAAAACAAACAACGCATATTCGCGAAATTAAAAAATATATAAAAGGGCGGCAATTTACCCATCGCACTATATATATATATATATATATATATATATATATATATATATATATATATTGAAAAGAAGAGAGAAACCGCAAACATTTTTATTGTAATGTGGATAAAAAAAATATGCTTTATTTTCCATAATTTTGTAACACGTGTTTCCGGTCTCGCTTCCGTCATCAAGTAAAGGGTGGAGATTTCCACATATTAAAAATAATAATTTTTTTTCTTATGTTTTTCGATGTTAAATATTCTCGATATGAGACATCTTTTTTTTTTCGTGTTAGTCATCCAAATGTCTTTCTTGAACTGGCAGTGAAAAGTTCTGCGTGATGGGTTATAGAACAATTAGGAATGGTCCGAGAAATGGTAAAGGAGTTATCGGCATTCTTATTTATTAATGAACCCTGTGTGTTCTTAGATCTATTTCCATTTTCTTTTTTTTGTCAGCATGCGTATGTATACGTATATTATTACGAGGAATTAGTAAACGCATTTTGCACATACACACATATGCACACAGATATATATACACATACACACACTTTCTATGCTGTGTAGTGTTCGCGTGTGTGCCCGTTGTTCTTGCCAATATGTGTATATACATATCAGCATGCGTGTCTATACGCGCACTTCGTCTTTGCATACATACACTGTTCTTCCCCAAGGAATTAGTATATATACACACACACATACATACATACATAAATACATACATACGTACATACATATACATATACTTCCCAAGTTACAAGAAATCAGTATACACACAAACACACATGAACACACACACACACACACACACACACATATATATATACCTACATATATATACATATACTTCCTAAGTTGTGCAGGGTTTGTGGCGTGCCCGTGAGTAGTCCCCTGCTTTTGTCAATATGCGTATATACAGTGCAACCCGGATATAAGAGAGTTGTCGGGACCGGAGAAGAAGTCTCTTATATCCGTGTTTCTCTTATATCCGGGTTTGATCTATTCTGTTTAGGTAAATATGGAAACACTTTGGGACCAGAGAAAATCTCTCTTATATCCGGGTTTCTTTTATATCTGGGTTTCTCTTATATCCGGGTTTGGTGTATTTTGTTTAGGTAAGTATGGGAACACTTTGGGACCAGAGAAAATCTCTCTTATATCCGGGTTTCTCTTATATCCGGGTTTCTCTTATATCCGGGTTTGGTCTATTTTGTTTAGGTAAGTATGGGAACAATTTGGGACCAGAGAAAATCTCTCTTATATCCGTGTTTCTCTTATATCCGGGTTTCTCTTATATCCGGGTTTGGTCTATTTTGTTTAGGTAAGTATGGGAACAATTTGGGACCAGAGAAAATCTCTCTTATATCCGGGTTTCTCTTATATCCAGGTTTCTCTTATATCCGGGTTTGGTCTATTTTGTTCAGGTAAGTATGGGAACAATTTGGGACCAGAGAAAATCTCTCTTATATCCGGGTTTCTCTTATATCCGGGTTTCTCTTATATCCGGGTTTCTCCTATATCCGGGTTACACTGTATATATTCGTTGTCCACAGATACCCGCATGTGTGCGTCTGTGCATGCATGTTAGTGGTTTGATCGCGGTATCTGGTCACTATGTGCCCATGTTGCGTGTTTTTGCATGTGCGGTCATGATCTATTTAGTGCTGGTTTAAATTTGTTTATTAAATTTTTTCTTGTATTTGTAGGTAATAATAATTGTTTGATATATTGGCATAATTTTAAATTTACTCTGGTTACATTTGAAGATGTGTTGTGATACAAAAAGTTTTCTGTTGTCTGGTACTTTTAGGTTGCTTTTGTGTAGGGAGACCCTGTTGTTTAGTTGTTGGCTGATACCTATATATGACTTCTTGCATTTTGTGCATTTCAGTACATAAATCACATTTTTGGAGTTGCAGTTTAAGTTTTTATTTATTATGAATTTCGTTTTGGGGTTTTCAAAAGTGTAGCAGTTTCCTTCTATAATGATGTCACAAAGCCCACATCTTTTTTTGTTGCGTTTTGTTAATTCCCTGAATTGTGTGTTGGTTAAATTTAGATGAAGTTAATATGTTTTTTAGGTTTTTAGATTGGCGTTTGCTTTTAATTATTTTGGTTGTTTTTAGTATATTTTTCAGTTTATTATTCTTGCTAAGTAGGTCTAGATTTTTTGTAATTT